AAAAACAAAAAGAGGGGAAAAGATAGAGAGACGAAGACGGAGAAGAGAAAAAATATACATACAATACTTTAGTCACATAATTACCTAAAACCCTTAGTTATTTATTTACCAAAAACACTTTGACCAATTAGGCCTCACACTCAATTACCTAAATGCCCTTTATCCTTTGACTTTTTTGACCTTTTGGAAGGCGTGCTCACGGCAAGTGATTTTAGGGGGTTCTAATGATACATAAAATAATGGGGACATTTAAATTTAAAACAAATGGACCAGTCAAATTAAACTTTATTTATTAAATATTTTTATGCCAGTAAAAATTACAAATGAGTTGAGAAAAGATGGAATGTGCTCTTGTCTCATATACTCCCCCAAAATGTTTTAAGACAATATTATGTACTTGTGTTCTGTTTTCTCTCTTCAAATGGTAGATTTAATCATTGTTGTTGATGTCGGTATACTGTGCCTGAACCACGTACCCTTAATGTAAGTTTTTGAGTTCTGATTTTACCCGAATTTCATTTTATTTTGAGGAATTGGTTAATTTGTATAGGAAAGATGGACAAAATTTTATATGTATTGCTTCTTTTGAAAGTGGTGTAAACACAATATTTATAAGTTGTTCAATTTTTTCTTCCTTCCCTTTTTCTCTTTGAGTTTTTGTTAAACTAATTAATCAACAACAATCGAATTATTGTTAGATTATCATTCAATTTTCTTTTGTGAAATTTCATGGAGGGTGGGCCGGGGATTAGTAGGTCGTACAATAACTTGAGGTTGGTGCTTGGGAATACTCTAAACCAAACACACTATGGACCACTATGGAAAGCAGCCCAAAGATTTTTTGGTGTGTATAATTTATTTTGAGTTGAATTATTGAAATGGTGGAGCCACACGCCAAAGAATATGGACCACTATGAAGAAGCCAGCCAAGATTTTAGGAGCGTAAAATTTAATTTATTTGGAGCACTTGACTCTTGAGTCCATTTTCCCATTTTAATTATTCATAGTGAAGCGTTAAGAGAAAGGAAGTGTTATACTACTCAAATCAAAGCAATCAACCAACAAAAGCAACAATCAAGATCAAGAATCAAACACAAGACCACAGATTTACCGTGGTTTCACTTGCTCTAAGATTGAGCAAGCTACGTCCACGTTGAACTCGATAATCACACGAGCCGCTGCACTAATACTGTCAAGTTACAGATTACACATCACAACACAAGTCACTCAAACCCCTTCTTCAACCCAACCCTTACCAACCCTAGAGATTACACCATTCGAATCCCTAAATACAGTGTTATACTATACACCCAGAATGACCTGACCAGTCCACTCAACACTCAAGTTACAGGCAACACTCAACCCAAACTGTAGAAACCCTAAAGCTTAACAATGGTGTTTTAAACGAAGAAGAGAGAGTATTCGAAAACGAAAATGAATCGCTCTAATAAACTGCCAAAATACATTCTGCTTTTATATGGGTGAAATTAGGGTTGAACTTTTCATCCGTTGGATCTCCTTTTCATCACGCTCAGATTGTGTTTCCTGTCATATGAGCAAGGTGACGTCGTTTCCACTAAGTGTCCAAGACGGTAGCGTTTTCAAGCCATCATCCAACAGAAGAAACCTCTCAAACTTTTCATTTTCTGAGTCTTTTTCTTCTTCTGCCATCAAACGTAATCTAATTATTGATTTGATTATCATTCAATTTTCTTTCGTGAAATTTCATGGAAGGTGACCGGCTGATTATATAGTCTGGAAGTGAAATTTCGTGGAAATTTGTGATTTGAAGAAAAAAACAAGACATTGAAAGAGCAAACCACTATGAAGTTGGATTATTGGAATGGTGGAGCCAGACTTTAAACCAAAGTTGCAGACACACTGGGTTTCTCTGCTTTATGAGTAATCACTGTCCATTTTTCCATTTTACTTTTTCTTTATCTTTCTCCTGACACTTTGACCTCTTGGATGTCCATTTTCATTTTATTACCTGTTGTGAAAAAGGAAGAAACCTCTCATGAGGCTTTTGTTTTTTTACGAACAGGAAAGGGACTAATAATGGATATTCACTTTATTTCTGATTTATGAAAGTAACGTGAATTTTCGTTGAGGTGCATTGCAGAAATTTCTATTTTCTCCTTTCCACGCAAGTTCACCAAACCATTACCAGTCTCGAAACCTTTCCATCTTTTTCATTTATCATCTGCCGACAGAGAAGTTGAGTAAAAGTTTTCTTGCTTGTAGAAACTGAGTATCAAGAAGTTCAGACTATCCAAAATCACAAACTACAGGTAAAAGAAATTCTTCATACGCTCTTGTAATTTTTAAAAAAGCATCTTTGTTTATTTAGTTTCACTTGTCCAATCGCTAGTGTTTTTCACATTCTGTTGACTTAAATATATTTTGTTTTGGATTTGAACTGATGACAATGTTTTATATTACACTGTGGAATAAGAATCAATGGTCCAGCTCAAATATAGCTATTATCCATGCATGCCTCCTGTTAACATTATCATGCTGTGAAATAAACTCCATGGATCCATGGTCTGGTTTCTTTGTTTATGAAATACGTCCTTACATCTGTAATTAGGCCAAAATCCTGAATTTATTTTTTCATAGTCCCCGATCATTTGTAAAGTTACACTGTAAATAAGATCAAGTAAATTTCTTAATATTATTTATCTTTATAAATGATCTAAAAACAATATTAGTAGCAAAATCCTTTGTTTATGGCCAACTCTACATTTTCTTTCTTTTCTCAATCCTGCTAATAAAGCATCAAGATTACAAACAGCTCACAATCACACTTGGCAGTTGTATCCTAAATCTTCAGGTTTCAGTTATAAATTTTGGTAATGCTCCTGTAGATTTGATAGTTAATGAGATGAGAACCCATGAAGATGTCAGCCTTTAACTCTCTAAGCCTTTCAATGAACAATAAGGTTAAGTTTAGGACTGAACTTGTGAATAACAATTGCAGATTTTCGACCTTCCATTTGGCAAACTGTATTATATTATCTTCTAAATTAGAGTAAAGAATGGAGGGATCCAACTGATAATATGTTGGGATAGTGCCTTGAGTCCCACATTGCTTGGAAGGGAGTTCAAGGGACTCTCCTCTAAATACCCTAGCAGTGTGGCGACCAAAACATAGCTAAAGTGGACTGTTATTAGACGTAATTGGGTTTTTGGGATAGTGTTAGAAGTTGGACCATTTTTCTCTTCTAAAAATCCCCTTTAAAATTCTCGTGGTTGGTTAGCTTTATTTGTGCGTTGTTTGGCTTTAATTTTGTGTTTGAGTTGGTGAGATTTTTTTTTTTCCAAATATATATTACCCAACCAAACGTTTTAAACGTTGATGAATCAAGTAAAAATATCATAAACTAGAGGGTAATTAGTATCTTCCGAAAAAACATAATTCATTTTTTTATTTCTCTGTGTAGCTTATCTACAAGATTTGACATATTTACAAAAATCACACTGTTAACCATCTGATATTTATATTATATGATAGTATGACCGTGCAATGTGCTTAGGATGCCAAATCGAAATCGATTCCTCCTGTTTAGCTCTTGTTTCTATTTGTCTTACTCGTATTTTAATAACGCAGGTTTAAAGTGATAATCCATTTGTTTAATTCCTTTCTTCAACAAACAGAAGTTATCATCATGGCTGTGGGAGAGCTCTTTCTCTCTGCTTTCCGCATGTTGTTTGACAAATTACATCCCCTGAGTTCTGCAGTTTGCAAGTCAAGGGTGTACGCTCAAAGCTGAAGAATGGGAGAAGAAGTTGAAGTTTATTGAGTGCTCTGCTCATGGATGCCGAGGAAAGCAACTGACGGACAGGGCTGTGAATATGTGCTGGACCGAGCTCCAGACTGTGGCTTATGATGTGGGGACATTCTGGATGAGTTTGCAACTGAAGCTTTAAGGCGAAGTGATGTCTAACACCATGCTAGCAGTACAGGAACGTACTTATCTCAGCTTGTTTCACTGGTCGACTCCAAGTGCTGTGAAGTTCACTTCTCAACATGAGGTCCAAGATAGTGTTTAACTAGCAGATTGGAAGAACTCTGCAGACAAAGAACTGAGCTTGGATTGGAAAAGATTTCGGGGGGGACATCAACTACTGCATGGAATAGACCATCCAGTACATCTGTGCAAATCGAGCCTGCTATTTTTGGGAGGGAGGGAAACAAAGCAAGATACTACAAATGGTGTTAAGTGGGGAATCAAGTGAAGCCAACTTTGCGTTACACCGATTGTGGTATGGGGGGGAATTGGTAAAACAACACTTGCTCGAGAGTCTACAAATGATGACAAGGTTATCGAGTTTCATCCAAGACATGGACGTTTGTCTCGGATGATTTGTGTTTGCTGCGTATCGTCTAGGCAATTCTTGATTCATCACTTCATCACCTTGTAGTCTAGAGAACTTAAATGAAGTGCAGGTTCAGTTGAAAAACAAAGTAGCTGGAAAAAAAATTCTTCCTTGTATTAGATGATCTTTGGAGCAGAGATTATGGCTTGTGGGAAACTCTTAAGTCTCCCTTCATGGCTGGGGCACCAGGAAGTAGGATAATTGTGACGACACGCAGCGTCGATGTACCTTTAACCATGGGACAAAGCGAATATTTTGAGTTGGAACTTCTTTCAAATGATGATTGTTGGGGCATATTCGAGAAGCATGTATCTGGGTGCAGAGTTGTTGTTTCAGGCCAGAATTTGAATTCAATTCGTGATAAAGTTGTTGAGAAGTGCGGAGGGTTACCGTTAGCAGCCAGGACTCTTGGGGGTCTTTTACGATCTAAGCAAAGATATGATGAGTGGGAAGATATATTGAACAGTAAATTATGGGATTTACCGTAAGAAAATGGCATTCTCTCTGTTTTGAGACTAAGCTACCATCATCTTCCTTCACATTTAAAAAGATGTTTTGTTTATTGTTCTATTTTTCCCAAGGATTATGAATTTATGGATAAGGAACTTATCCTATTATGGATGGCAGAAGGTCTTATTCAACAATCTAAAAACAAGCATATGGAAGACTTAGGTAGTGAGTATTTTCGTGATTTACTGTCGAGGTCAATATTTCAACGGTCAAGTATCAATGGTTCAAAATTTATAATGCATGACCTTGTCAATGATTTGGCTCAATGGATATCTAGAGAAACAAGTTTTAGATTGGAGGATGAATGCAGTCTCATGTCAATAAAAAGATTTGATAGAATTCGACATTCTTCTTACACATTTAGACGTTATGAAGTAAAAAAGAATTTTGAAGCTCTCTATAAAGTTGAGTCCTTGAGGACGTTGCTGAGAATATTCTTGCCATTATGGTACGAAACAACTTACGTTACTAAGACGGTTTTTTTGGATTTATTGCCAAAGCTCAAAAAACTGAGAGCACTATCTTTAACATACTACCATGTGATGGAACTACCCAACTCAATTGGAGATCTAAGACATCTAAGGTACATTAACCTTTCTGAAACTGGGATAAAATGTTTATCTGAGTCAACATGTTTACTGTTCAATTTACAAAGTTTGATGTTGAGAAATTGTTGCTGTCTTGAGAAGTTGCCTTCACACGTGGGAAATTTGATCAATCTATGCCATTTTGATATTAGAGGGTCAATATTAATAAGGGAGATACCATTGGGAGTGAAAAACTTAAAATGTTTGAAGACACTGTCAAATTTTATTGTTGGTAAAGGTACTGGATCTAGCTTGAAGGATTTGAAAAGCTTAAAGTTTCTTTGCGGAGAGCTCTGCATTTCACGTTTAGAGAATGCAGTGGATTGTCAAGACACAACAGAGATGAGATTGTGCGAGAAGGACTTAGAAGTGTTGGCACTAGAATGGAGTTCATCTAATCCCTCGCAAGATGAAGCAGTGAAAATTGTTCTTGACATTTTACAACCTCATGAAAATCTTAAAAATCTCACAATAAGAAATTATGGAGGCCAAAAACTTTCATCTTGGATAGGAGATCCATCATTCTCCACCATGGTGGATTTGGAATTGGATGGATGTGATAACTGCACAACCTTGCCTTCGCTAGCACTGATGGCTCACTTCGGAACCTGACAATCAGATTGATGGGAAAAATAAAAAAGATAGGTGGTGAGGTTTATGGAGAGCATTGCTCAAAGTCTTTTCAATCGTTGCAGACTCTTTGTTTGAGGATTGTTTTGAGGATTTGCAGGAGTGGGAGGATACGCTCACCGTATCTACAAGCCACTGACTGAGTGTGGTTGGCACAAAATTACCTCTCTTAGAAGACTCTCAATTTCGGGATTATCTTTTCCAGAGGAGGAGATCATAGAAATAAAGTTTCCCATCTCTCTAAACATCTGAGCATCGTTAGCTTCCCGAAATTGAAATACCTGTCTTCCAAAACTTTCCAATTCTTCACTCTTGAATCTTTGACTTCAGGGGTTGCCCAAATCTCAGATCCTTGCCCGACCTTCCATCCTCACTTTTGTACTATATATTATAATTGTCCTTTAATAGAAACAGTGCAAAAGGAATGAAGGACAAGAATGGTCCAAGATAGTTCACATCCCTCGCGTTGAGGTAAATAATAAAATCATCTACACTCTGGAAGAGGAAATGAGTGATCCGATACTAATTCCTTCCACCATTGTAATCAATTTAGGTACGTCAATTTTTGGCTCATAGAACAATTTTTGTATCCCTTAACCCTTTTAAACCTGAATCCAAATTCTATAACATGATTGGTAACCTCATTTTTGAGGGTTGGGCTGCTGAGTTTAGAGAATATTTTGCAAGGAGGGGACATTAGTTGTTATGCATATTGCAATCTGAATATCTTGCTGATCTACATCCTTAATTATATCACTTAGACAAACAGAAGTATGCTATCTTTCCTTGAAAATAATCATGTTATGTGACTTTCTTTATGCAGGTTCTGTGTAGCAGAAGTTCTCCTTGCTCTTAATGCCTCCATATACTTGGGATTGTTTACTGGAACCTTAAGCCAGAAAATGTTCTTGTATGGGAAGATGGACATATAATGCTCTCTGACTTTGGTCTTACCCTTCATTGTGCTGTCAGCTAACAGTAGTGAAGTCGTCAACACTCGGTCTGAAATTTATTCATTTGACATGCCTGCACCTAGCCCTCGTGTATCAAACCATCAGTCTTCACTACAACTTGTTTTTCTTCTCGATCTTTTGAAATCCAAGAAAGTTCAGAAACCAAAGAATGAAACCGGGACAGTTACCCCACTGCCAGAACTGATTGCTGAGCCAACAACACTCGCTCCATGTCGCTTGTGGGAACTCACGAGTACCTGGCACCTGAAAACTCAAAGGTGAGGGAATGCCGTGTGTTGATTGTTGGAATTTGGGATCTTTCTGTATGAGCTATTATGGTAAAACTCCCTTCAAGGGCTCCGAAAACAGGGCTGCCCTGTTTAATAGTCCAAATAATTTCTCTTTCACAGCTATAATTTTTGTTGTCTCTAACTTTCAATTTTAATTACAAATTTGGTAAACATTTTCATTTCTAATGGCGAAACTCTAGACATTGAGCACATATCAAAGTTCTACTTTAAAAAATTCAATTGGTTTGTGTTTGGTGGACAGGTGGCTTTTCTTCTAAAAAATCATAGAACTCCTTTCGGATGTGGAAGGCAATGATAATGCACCATGGTTTGTCAATAAAGTTGTGCTAGAGAATGAATTTTGGTGTAATATAGAGAGTTCTAGTAAGAAAAGTAATCAGAACTATTACTGCATGTAGTTAGATAATTTAGGTGGATTCAAGAAAACAACTGTGTTTATGACTTGAAAATTTCTATTGAAGGTTCTGTATTCCTTTGTTAATTTTCCAAGAGGTGTGCTGTTCAAATGTTGCAATTTAGTAGAGTTATGACAAATGTTGGTGAAGATTCTATTGAAGCCTTCAAAAGGTTATGATTTCTTCTTGTCATGGACCAAGTTATTCTAGTGTTATGATGGTCCTAATCTCACATCCTTACTACTTGTGACGTTTAATGATGAATGATGTCCTTTTCAGAAAACGCAGGGCGAAGGGAACGAAAGACGAGAGTTGTTGAAGATATTAGCCACAATATTCTTTGGATAAACATTGATCACAGTCGTCTAGAATGTATGATGATGCCCAGGTGATATTAAATATTTTTCTGTTAAAACAGAGCACCAGAAAACTTGTTGCACACAATGTGCCAAATAAAGACATTTATTACAATCTTGCTCAACCATTAAGAACAAAAATTCACAAACTGCAAGGATTCATTTCACCTTCCTTAACAAAGTTGTTGAATAATAGAATACTCTGAATCGACTGAAGGGATTTAGAGGTTACCAAAAGGTAGTCCACATGGTTTTACAAGGAACTAAAGCACCAAATAATTCTATTCGCATGCATGTCTGTCCAATGTCCAATGTTGAAGCACACCAAATAAAGCTCTAAATATTCTACCAAAACTGTGTTACATTATCTCAACATTTGTCTTGAAAAATTTCGGATTTTGTGTTGTAAAAACATTACATCAGTTCCGAAGGTCTACACAGTCTTCGTAATCTTCGTTATTTTGGTATAAAAATTGCCCAAGTCTTGTTTGTTACCGGAAGACGGCCTTCCTAATACTGTTTCAGAAGGGCTTATCAATAATTGTAGGAAGCTCAAAGCTCTATCTCTTCAATCGCTAGCCTTATATGAATGTCCAAATATGGCTTTCTCTCTGAACAAATGAACTCTGCACTTTACTAACCTTTCTTCATGAACTCAGCTTCCTGGAAAATAATGCTCTGGAATATACTGAAATAAAAACAGAGTACAAAATGGACTCATATAATTTAATAGATATTATGTTATAAATCACCACAACGACCACCACCACAAACACTCACCACTACCAGCCAACAAAACACTTAACACTACCTTTTTCAAAATCTCGTAATTTTTTCAAATAAATTCACAATGCCCGAGTGTGGAGGTTAGAAGTTAGAAGGAGGCATAGTTGCGGCTTGAAGGCTGAGCTTGGGTCAAGACGGGACGGGCTCGTTGCCGGAGACCTTCCACGGCGGACCCATGCTCTCTTGTCAAATCCGGTCATGGCTGCAGTGTTTCTTTAATTGGTAAAGAGAGAGGAGAGTGAAGAAGAAGAGAGAAAAAAACAAAAGAAAGAGGGTAAAAGAGAACGAGAGACGAAGGAGAGAGAGAAAAAAAATATACTTTAGTCACCAATTACCTACAAACCTAGTTAGTTGATTAATACCAAAATCACGTTGACCAATTATAACTACATACTCAAATTACCTAAATGCCCTTATCCTTGACTTTTTTGACCGTTTGGAAAGGGCGTATTTTCGGAAATGATTTTAGGGGGGTTCAAATATATTAATTTGCTCGCACCGATGGCAAAATTAGGATTGAAATTGGGTTGAGATTGGGGTGACCTGTATACTTGGTTTGTGTGAAATCCTCTTCTTCATTGTTCTTCTTCTGTATTGTCAATTGTTTGTAATGTGGGTTGAAGACATAATTGTTTCAAGTTGGGATCCTTGGTTAGCTTCTGTGCACCAAGTGTTCGATAAATTGCCTCAGTTGGATTTTTGTTACAAACTGAGGTTGAATATCCAAAATCTACAACTCACTGGCAGTGTGAGGCTTTCACAAACTCACCTCTCTTACAACACTCAGGACTAGTAAATACCCAAATGCTGCTCTTTTCCAGGGGAAGAGATGAAGTTGCCAACTTCTCCAACTTCTTGAAAATTGAAAGCTTCACAGAATTGAAATACCTATCTCCCAGGTTTTCCAAAATCTCACCTCTCTTGAAGGTTCGTCAATCTATGGTTGCCCAAATCTTAAACTTACCAGACCTTCCATCTGGCTTCTGCGACTATATATTGGACGTTCTCCTTTGCTGAAACAACGATGCAAAAGGAATGAAGGGAGGAGTATTAAGATGGATTGGAGTTCACTTAGAAACTGTGGAAATGGCTGGATCGGTCAATCACCTCACTTCATCTTATGGGCTATTCAGGTCAGTCAATCTCTGGAACCAACACCATTAGCTTTTATCAAGACCATTTAAATTGTATAGAACAGAGATCTAATTAATAATATGTGGCTCCTGTAGGAACCAACTGAAAAGTATGAACTCTGGGATGCAATATGCCAACATGTCAATGGCAATGGTAAGCTTTACTATTTGGCGTGTTAAGACAATTGAATCTCACTGTTGATTTATTGAAGTCTTTTTTTTTCTCAGCTAATAGCAGAGCTCACCCCATGGACATAAAACTAAATTAAATTTTTGCAAGGCTACTTTTCATTCATCTTGCCAATCAATAATGTAAGAAATGTCAATTTTATTCTATTCAGGCTCACTTGTTGATCATCAAATTAGCTTCGGCTTGGAATCTGATGTTCTCACATCAATTTGAAAATAGCATCTCATTTTGCATTTATGTTTCTTTTGTTTGTTTAAGGTATTTATTTATATTCATTTCGGTGGAAGCCAGTGGACTATTTGAAACTCTGGCTTGAAGTAAAACATTTCTTTGTGCCATTGATTCTTCTTAACATTTCAATGAGTCAAATTCTGATGTTTTGCAATTTTTGAGATTTATAATTCATAGATCTAAGCTTTTTTTTATACTATGAACACCAAATTTGGGTTCTTTTTGTGATGATAACTCATGTTGATGATTGGACTTAAAAAAAAAGCCGTGATTGCAGAGTAATATCTTGTTTCTTCTTATGCCTTTTCATTCAACCAATGGCCTGAACTCTTTGGCATTGAACTGATACCGAGGTTTTGTTAAAACAAGGAGCTCAATTTAGAGTTGTAAGGAAATGGTACACTATGCTTTGTGGAGCTCCAGCTGATTTTAGCCCAATACAGGCACAAGCAACAGAGACTATGCTTGGAGAACAAATTTTTAGAGTTATTTAGTGAGTTCGAATCCAAAAGTCATGTGTCACAAGTGTATTCAGAACAACTATTATCATATTTACAATTCGTGGCTAAGATGTGGTGCAGAAATGTTGGGATCTTGGTTGCAAAAGAGGTCTCAAAATGTTGATTTTAAATTAAAAAAACTTTCACTTAATCATCGTTTGCTACATAAAATTGTGAGAAAAAGTTTGTATAAAAAGATTGTAAGTGTAGTATTATGCAGTGGATTGTCAAGAACAACAGAGATGATGTTGTGCGAGAAGGCTTAGAAGTGTTGGCAATAGAATGGAGTTCATCTAATCCCTCGCAAGATGAAGCAGTGAAAATTGTTCTTGACATTTTACAACCTCATGAAAATCTTAAAAATCTCACAATAAGAAATTATGGAGGCCAAAAACTTTCGTCTTGGATAGGAGATCCATCATTCTCCACCATGGTGGATTTGGAATTGGATGGATGTGAAAACTGCACAACCTTGCCTTCGCTAGCACTGATGGGCTCACTTCGGAACCTGACAATCAGATTGATGGGAAAAATAAAAAAGATAGGTGGTGAGGTTTATGGAGAGGATTGCTCAAAGTCTTTTCAATCGTTGCAGACTCTTTGTTTTGAGGATTTGCAGGAGTGGGAGTATTGGGACCCTGTAGATAATGACCATGTCAAAAGATACCCTCGTCTCCATAAGCTTTCAATTTCTCAATGTCCTAAACTCTCTGGAAGATTACCTAATCATCTTCCTTTGTTGGGTAATCTTGTGATTGATGAGTGTGAGCAGTTAGTGGTTTCATTTTCAAGCCTTCCAATGCTCAGATCATTAGAAATAAATAGATGCAAAGGCATGGTTTGTTGTAGCCCAGTTGATTCAGAGGCGCTAAACTCCATGAGTATAGGTGGAGAATCAAACTTTCCAGTGTTTAGAAGTTGGTCAAGGGAGGGATTTCAGAAACTAGAACATCTGTCGATTGTTGGCTGTGAAGAGCTCATACATTTATGGCCAAATAAGATTTGTCCAGAGAATGCACCACAAGAGTTGAGTTGCTTCACCTCCCTTCAAGAGCTGCATTTAAAAGAACTCCGGAATCTTGTTTCGTTTCCAGATGGGTTACTTTCAATCTTGAGCAGAGTTACTATCAGCCAATGTGACGCCCTAACATCCTTGCACGAGGGGTTGAAGCATAGCCATGCACATCTCAAGTTCTTAATGGTTTATGATTGTCCTTCTCTAACATTCATTGTGAGAGGCCGTTTACCTACATCTCTAAAAGAGCTTTCTATTTTTAGATGTGAAAATTTGGTGTGCGTTTTGGATGATAGAGAAGATATTTCTACGTCTTCTCCATCTTCTTCGTATTCATTGGTACATGGTGACGACGTGGAGAATACTAGCACATCTCTTCTCTACAAATTAAGCATACAGGAATGCCATTCTCTGACGCGTTTATCCTCAACAGACCAGTTACCTTCAACACTCACGGAGCTTTCTCTTTCAAACTGTTCAAGTCTCAGAACCTTGGGACAGTTATCAAAGGGACTTGTGTCCCTTTTTATTAGCAGCTGCCCAAAGCTAGAGTCACTAGTGTCTGGGAGTTTTGACTGTAACATGCCTATTGAGATTCTTTCTATCCAGGGATGTGAAAACCTTAAATCCATGCCGGAGGGCTTACACACTCTTTGCAAACTAAGTTTTCTGAATATCAGTTATTGCCCAAGTTTTGTTTCGTTTCCAAAAGATGGGTTTCCTGACACTGATTTAGAAGTATATATCTTTGGGTGTGAGAAACTACAAGCCCTACCTAGCCGCATACACACCCTCAAATCTCTTCAAAAGCTATCCTTATTGCAATGTCCTAATATCGAATCCATTACAGCAGAAGATTTCCCCTCCAACCTAAAATCACTTACACTTCCTCTCAGTATCTACAAGCCACTGACTGAGTGTGGTTGGCACAAACTTACCTCTCTTATATGACTCTCAATTTCGGGATTATCTTTTCCAGAGGAGGAGATCATAGAAATAAAGTTTCCCATCTCTCTAATACATCTGAGCATCGTTAGCTTCCCGAAATTGAAATACCTGTCTTCCAAAACTTTCCAAGTTCTTACACCTCTTGAATCTTTGACTTTCAGTGGTTGCCCAAATCTCAGATCCTTGCCAGACCTTCCATCCTCACTTTTGTCACTATATATTTATAATTGTCCTTTAATAGAAAAACAGTGCAAAAGGAATGAAGGACAAGAATGGTCCAAGATAGTTCACATCCCTCGCGTTGAGGTAAATAATAAACTCATCTACACTCTGGAAGAGGAAATGAGCTGAATCCGATACTAATTCCTTCCACCATTGTAATCAATTTAGGTACGTCAATTTTTGGCTCATAGAACAATTTTTGTATCCCTTAACCCTTTTAAACCTGAATCCAAATTCTATAACATGATTTGGTAACCCTAATTTTTGAGGGTTTTGGTGCCTGAGTTTAGAGAATATTTTGCAAGGAAGTGGGGACATTAGTTGTTACATGCATATTGCAATCTGAATATCTTGCTGATCTACATCCTTAATCTATATCACTTAGACAAACAGAAGTATGCTATCTTTCCTTGAAAATAAATCATGTTATTATGTGACTTTCTTTATGCAGGTTCTGTGTAGCAGAAGTTCTCCTTGCTCTTTAATGCCTCCATATACTTGGGATTGTTTACTGGAACCTTAAGCCAGAAAATGTTCTTGTATGGGAAGATGGACATATAATGCTCTCTGACTTTGGTCTTACCCTTCATTGTGCTGTCAGCCTAACAGTAGTGAAGTCGTCAACACTCGGGTCTGAAATTTATTCATTTGACATGCCTGCACCTAGCCCTCGTGTATCAAACCATCATGTCTTCCCACTACAACTTGTTTTTCTCCTCAATCCTTTTGAAAATCCAAGAAAGTTCATAAACCAAAGAATGAAACTGGGAACAGTTACCCCACTGCCAGAACTGATTGCTGAGCCAACCAACAGTCGCTCCATGTCGCTTGTGGGAACTCACGAGTACCTGGCGCCTGAAACCATCAAAGGTGAAGGGAATGCGGTGCTGTTGATTGGTGGAATTTTGGGATCTTTCTGTATAAGCTATTATTTGGTAAAACTCCCTTCAAGGGCTCCGAAAACAGGGCTACCCTGTTTAATAGTCCAAATAATTTCTCTTTCACAGCTATAATTTTTGTTGTCTCTGACTTTCAATTTTAATTACAAATTTGGTAAACATTTTCATTTCTAATGCTGGCCGAAACTCTAGACATTGAGCACATATCAAAGTTCAACTTTAAAAAATTCAATTGGTTTGTGTTTGGTGGACATGTGGCTTTTCTTCTAATAAATCATAGAACTCCTTTCGGATGTTGAAGGCAATGATAATGCACCATGGTTTGCTCAATAAAGTCTGTGCTTGAAGAATGAATTTTTGGTGTAATATAGAGAGTTCTTAGTAAGAAAAGTAATCAGAACTATTACTGCATTGTAGTTAGATAATTTAGGTGGATTCAAGAAACCAACTGTGTTTATGACTTGAAAATTTCTTTATTGAAGGTTTCTGCTATTCCTTTTTTAATTTTCCAAGAGGTGCTGCTGTTCAAATGTTGCAATTTAGTAGAGTTATGACAAATGTTGGTGAAGATTCTATTGAAGCCTTCAAAAGGTTATGATTTCTTCTTGTCATGAGACCAAGTTATTCTAGTGTTATGATGGTCCTAATCTCACATCCTTTACTACTTGTGCAGTTTAATATGAATGATTGTCCTTTTTCAGAAAACGCAGGGCGAAGGGAATGAAAGACGAGAGTTGTCGAAGATATATAGCCACAATATTCCTTGGTTTTACAAGGAACTAAAGCACCAAATAATTCTATTTGCATGCATTGTCTGTCCAATGTCCAATGTTGAAGCACACCAAATAAACAAAACTGTGTTACATTATCTCAACATTTGTCTTGAGAAATTTCGGATTTTGTGTTGTAAAAACATTACATCAGTTACCGAAGGTCTACACACTCTTCGTAATCTTCGTTATTTTGGTATAAAAAATTGCCCAAGTCTTGTTTGTTTACCGGAAGACGGCCTTCCTAATACTGTTTCAGAAGTGCTTATCAATAATTGTAGGAAGCTCAAAGCTCTTATCTCTTCAATGCCTAGCCTTATATGAATGTCCAAATATGGCTTTCTCTCCTGAACAAATTGAACTCTGCACTTTACTAACCTCTTGTTCATGAACTCAGCTTCCTGGAAATTAATGCTCCACTGGAATATACTGAAATAACAACAGAGTACAAAATGGACTCATATGATATTATGTTATAAAACACCACAACGACAACCACCACAAACACTCACCACTACAACCCCAAACACCCAACACTACCTGCAAAAAAACACCCAACACTGATTTAACTTTCACATGGAATAAAATCAACAAATAAATCTAAAAAGGTGAACAAATCATTTTCAAAATCTCTTAATTTTTTCATATAAAATTCACAATGCCCGAGTGTGGAGGCTTAGAAGTTAGAAGAGAGGCATAGTTACGGCTTGAAGGCTTGAGCTTGGGTCAAGACGTGACGGGTTGCCGTTCGCCGGCGACCTTCCACGGCGGCGACCCATGCTCATCCTTGCTCAAATCCGGTCATGGCTGCAGTGTTTTGTTTAATTGGTAAAGAGAGAGGGAAGTGAAGAAAGAGAAGAAAAAAAACAAAAGAAAGAGGGGAAAAAGAGAGAGAGACGAAGAAGGAGAAGAGAAAAAAATATACATACATATACTTTAGTCACATAATTACCTAAAAACCCTTAGTTAGTTGATAATTACCAAAAACACTTTGACCAATTAGGCCTACACACTCAAATTACCTAAATGCCCTTTATCCTTTGACTTTTTTGACCTTTTGGAAAGGGCGTGCTCACGGCAAGTGATTTTTAGGGGGTTCTAATGATACATTAGAAAAATAATGGGGACATTTAAATTTAAAACAAATGGGACCAGTCAAATTAAACTTTATTTATTAAAATATATTGTAAGTGCAGTAAAAATTACAAATGAGTTGAGAAAAAGATGGGAATGTGCTCTTGTCTCATATAACTCCCAAAAATGTTTAAGACAATATTATGTACTTGTGTTCTGTTTTCTCTCTTCAAATGGTAGATTATAATCATTGTTTGTTGATGTCGGTATACTGGCCTGAACCACGTAACTCTAATGTATAGTTTTGAGTTCTGATTTTACCGAATTTCATTTTATTTTGAAGGAATTGGTTAATTTGTATAAGGAAAGATGGACAAAATTTATATATGTATTGCTTCTTGAAAGTGAGTGTAAAACAATATTTATAAGTTGATCAATTTTTTCTTCACTTACCCTTTTTCTCTTGAGTTTTGTTAAACTAATTAATCAAACACGAATCGAATTATTGATTAGATTATCATTCAATTTTCTTTTGTGAAATTTCATGGAGGGTGGGCGGTGGATTATGTAGGTCAGTACAATAACTTGAGGTTGGTGCTTGGAAATTCTCTAAACCAAACACACTATGGACCACTATGAAGAAGCAGCCAAAGATTTTTGGTGTGTATAATTTAATTTGGAGTTGAATTATTGAAATGGTGGAGCCAACGCCAAAGAATATGGACCACTATGAAGAAGCAGCCAAAGATTTTAGGAGCGTAAAATTTAATTTAATTTGGAGCACTTGACTCTTGGATGTCCATTTTCCATTTTAATTATTCATAGTGAAGCGTTAAGAGAAAAGGAAGTNGAGTTATGGGAATGTTGGTGAAGATTCTATTGAAGACTTCAAAAGGTTATGATTTCTTCTTGTCATGAGACCAAGATATTCTAGTGTTATGATGGTCCTAATCTCACATCCTTTACTACTTGTGCAGTTTAATAGGAATGATTGTCATTCGTAGAAAACACAGGGCGAAGGGAATGAAAGACGAGAGTTGTCGAAGATGTATAGCCACAGTATTCCTTGCATTAAAATTGATCACAAGTTCGTCTACCATCCCTACGAGGAAGAATGATCTTCGATTAGATTCAATCCTTTAATTAAGACATTCCATCCTTATGCTCTTTTCAGGTCTGTCAAATTCTTGCACATAAACGGTACCATTAGTTACAATCACAATTTATCAAATGTAGTGTTAATTTTGTCACATTTGCAGGAAGCAACCAACTCTGGGATACAATATGCAACATTGTAGTGGCAGTAGTAAGCTCTATCATAAGGCACCTTAAGATAATTGAAAGACATTTATTTTCATCTGTTTCATAAGTACCTAAACTTGTTATAGCAAGTTTCCTTTGATAAACATTTACTATAGGTTCCTTTTCAGATGATCAATTCATGGTACTGATGAGTGGAATATAAGGAAGCTGTGACAGCCGAGAGGTAAATTTTTTTTTCCGTAGAAGTCTTGGTGCATTTCCGAAAATATTGCATAGATTCATTTTCATTGTAGATTCATTGTCCGAGCTTGGCCTTTGTAGCATCAATCGCTGTTGGTCTAATGTCATTGAAGCTCCACCAAGAAGAGCGCTTCAGCTTCTTCCATGATGCAAATCAGCCCCTTGTGTTTCATTAGCGGCATGGGAAAGAGGAAGAGTAGCGCTTCGTTGTCTTCCATGATGCGATGATGGATAGGATGAACTCAAAATCAGCAAGTCCTTTTTATAGAAGCCCGATCAACTGTCAAGATATTATTCGCTTTGGACACAATGCGTACTAAGAGTTTAGGAGCTCACAGACTATTTAACAAGTCTTCACCTTTCTTTCCCAAGAGACGTGGGATATCACATTCTGCTGCTTGATGTGCAATGATACTACGAAGACTATGCTTGAAGGATGAATATCTGGAGTTATTTACAACTTCAATTGTTGTTGAATAGAATTCATTGAAAGTTTTTGCTGCTGTCTTCATAGGCTTTTACTTTCTGCACTTCTTCCAGAATCAGACTTAAGAACATTTTGGTTGTACAAATTATAGATTTACATGATTTTGGATTTTTTTTTCCGAAGAGTAAGGCTCATTATGTCTCTTATCAGGGTGTAACCTTTTCTTTAATCAATGAAATTTTGTCATATTGTCGAGGTTGCTTCAAAAAGAGAAAATGATGAAAAAAAGAAATAATTGTTTCATTCAGAAATTTTACACAACACAATTAAGAGAAAGGGTTAATAAAGCTTTTCCTTTCAGCCCTCTTTATGTTTATTTTAGTCCCTCTTAATTTATTTTATTGTAATTACACCACTGAAATTATAATAAAAAAGAAATACTTGTTGCTATACCTTTTGCTTATATTAGCAAATTTTTAGAATTATTATCTCATTTTTTTCTGTAATAAAGTAACACTTTTATTACTGCAAACAACCAAGAAAAAATTTCAGTATTCCAAGTAAAATTCTCCATAATTTATGGTATTCAAAATAAAAATATTACTAGAATAACACATACTAAAATCATGTATTTTTAAGATTGAACTAACAATATTGTGAACATTCTTTTATATCTTTCTTATTGATAAGGGCATGTTTTAAAATTGATCTTAAGTGTTAAAACTAACAATATAGCTGTCATCTTATTTGACGATCTCCCAGCTTCAACCAACCCAGTAAGTTGGTCAATTTCTGCAGCCCCCTAAGTTGGAAATTTAGAATTTTGGGACAAAGATTATATCCTTTCACTCTCACATTCAAACATAGGGGTTTTAAATATTAATTCTAAAACAATATATATATCACTCATTTTACCCTTACACAGGTTAACATCTATTAGAATCAAGAGGTTTATCATAATAGTTTAAACTGTAAGATTTAAACATTAGACCCGAACTCTCATGTTAATATTTATTAGAATCAAAGGATCTATTCTAATGGTTTATATTGTAGTATGTAAACGTTAGACTTGAACTTGTGATAAATACACGTAGTTAAATCGAATGGTATCATGGTCATCATCCAAATAGGACCTACAAATATTGTTTGGTAATGGAAACTTTATTGATTCTCTCATAACAATTACATGTAATTTATTCCTTTTGTCATGGAAATTGCACATCTCAGGTTCCAAAGGCACATTGGCTCAACTCATGTGATTTTACATTGTAAAAGAATATTTATTTTTATAAAGTATTTGGGAAGATATATTGAACAGTAAATTATGGGATTTACCTGAAGAAAATGGCATTTCTCTGTTTTGAGACTAAGCTACCATCATCTTCCTTCGCAATTAAAAAGGGTTTTGCTTACTTGGCTATTTTCCCCAAGGATTATGAATTTAGGATAAGGAACTTATCCTATATGGATGGAGAAGGTCTTATTCAACAATCTAAAACAAGCATCTGGAAGACTTAGGTCGTGAGTATTTTTGTGATTTATTGTCGAGGTCAATATTCAACGGTCAAGTACAATGGTTCAAAATTATAAGCATGACCTTGTCAATGATTGCTCAATGGATATTGGAGACACAAGTTTTAGATTGGAGGATGAATGCAGTCTCATGTCAATAAAAGGATTTGATAGAATTCGACATTCTTCTTACACATTTAAATGTTATGAAGTAAAAAAGGATTTTGAAGCTCTCTATAAGTTGAGTCCTTGAGGACGTTGCTGAGATATCTTCCACATCAACGTACAAAAACACTTACGTTAAAAAGACAGTTTTTTTTTGGATTTATTGCCAAAGCTCAAAAAACTGAGGAGCACTATCTTTAACAAAGTACCATGTGATGGAACTATCCAGCCATTGGAGATCTAAACAATCTAAGGTATATTAACCTTTCTGAAACTCAGAAAAATGTTACCTGAGTCAACATGTTTACTGTTCAATTTACAAAGTTTGATGTTGAGACAATGTTACTGTCTTGAGAAGTTGCCTTCACATGGGAAATTTGATCAACCTACGCCATTTTGATATTAGAGGGTCAATATTAATAAGGGAGATGCCATTGGGAGTGAAAAAGTTAAAATGTTTGAAGACACTGTCAAATTTTATTGTTGGTGAAGGTATTGGATCTAGCTCGAAGGATTGAAAAGCTTAAAGTTTCTTTGCGGAGAGCTCTGCATTCACGTTTAGAAATGCAGTGGATTGTCAAGACACAACAGAGATGATATTGTGCGAGAAGAAGGACTTAGAAGCGTTGGTACTAGAATGGAGTTCATCTACCCTCGAAGATGAAGCAGTGAAAATTGTTCTTGACATTTTACAACCTACGAAAATTAAAAGCTCACAATAAGAATTATGGCGGCCAAAAATTTCATATTGATGGATAGGACATCCATCATTCTCAACATGGTGGATTTGAAATTGGGTGGATGTGAAAACTGAAAACCTTGCCTTCGCTAGCACTGATGGGCTCACTTCAGAACCTGACAATCAGATTGATGGGAAAAATAAAAAAAATAGGTGGTGAGGTTTATGGGAGGGTTGCTCAAAGTCTTTTCAATCGTTGCAGACTCTTGTTTTGAGAAGTTGCAAGAGTGGGAGCATTGGGGCCCGTAGAAAATGACCAGTCGAAAGATTCCCTCGTCTCAAAAGCTTTCAATTTCTCAATGTCCTAACTCTTTGGAAGATTAACTAATCATCTCCCTTTGTTGGATAATCTTGTGTAAATGGGTGTGAGCAGTTAGTGGTTTCATTTTCAAGCTTCCAATGCTCAGATCATTAGAAGTAGATAGATGCAAAGGCATGGTTTGTTGTAGCCAGTTGATTCAGAGGCGCTAAACTCCATGAGTACAGGTGGAGAATCAAACTTCCAGTGTTTAGAAGTTGGTCAAGGGAGGGATTTCAGAAACTAGAAAGTCTGTCAATTGTTGGCTGGGAAGAGCTCATACATTTTGGCAAAAAGATTTGTCCAGAGAATGCACCACAAGAGTTGAGTGCTTCATCCCTTCAAGAGCTGCATTTAAAAAAGCTCCGGATCTTGTTTCATTTCCAGATGGGTTACTTTCAATTGAGCAGAGTTATATAGCCAATGTAACGCCCTAACATCCTTGCACGAGGGGTTGAAGCACAGCAATGCACGTCTCAAGTACTTAGAGGTTGATGACTGTCTTTCTCTAACATTCATTGTGAGAGGCCGTTTGCCTTCATCTCTAAATACGCTTGCTATTAATAGATGTGAAAACTTGATGTGCGTTTTGGATGATAGAGAAGATATTTGTACTTCTTCTCCATCTTCTTCTATTCACTGGTACACAGGGACGGCGTGGACAACACCAGCACATCTCTTCTTATGAATTAATCATATATGACTGCCATTCTTTGACGATTTATCGTCAACAGACCAGTTACCTTAACACTCGCGAGGCTTGATATTCGAAACTGTTCAAGTCTCGGAACCTTGGGACAGTTATCTAAGGGACTTGTGTCTTTTCGTATTGACGAGTGCCAAAGTAGAGTCCAGCTGCACTGGCAGCAGGAGTTTTGACTGTAACATGCCCATTGAGAATCTTTCTATCAAGGTATGTAAAACCTTAACCATTCCGGAGGGCTTCCACACTCTTTGCAAAACTGCGTATGCTTATCAGTAGGTGCCAAGTCTTGTTTGTTTCCAAAAGATGGGTTTCCTGACACTGTTAGTAGAGTAGAGATCTATGGGTGTGAGAAACTACAAGCCCTAACTCGCCGCATGCACACCTCAAATCTTTCAAAAGCTATCTATTGGAATGTCAATATCGAATCCATACAGCAGAAGATTTCCCCCCCAACCTAAAATCACTTAACTTCCTCTAGTATCTACAAGCCACTGACTGTGTGGTTGGCACAAACTTACCCTTTAGAAGACTCTCAATTTCGGGATTATCTTTTCCAGAGGAGGAGATCATAGAAATAAAGTTTCCATCTCTCTAATACATCGAGCATCGTTAGCTTCCGGAATTGAAAAAACTATTTCCAAAACTTTCCAAATTCTACATCTCTTGAATCTTTGAGTTTCAGCGTTGCCCAAACCTCACATCCTTGCAGATCTTCCATCCTCACTTTGTGCGCTACATTTATGATTGTCCTTTATTAAAAAAACAGTGCAAAAGGAATGAAGGACAAGAAGGTCCAAGATAGTCACATCTTGCATTAAGGTAACCCCTAAATTCGGCTTAACTCGGAAGATTTCTTTAACATTGTAATCAATTTAGGAGTCAATTTGGCTCATAGAACAATTGTTATTATGAGAGAATTTAGAGTTTTACAAAACAGAGTACGAATTAACAATTTTGTCATTTCATGCAGGGGGTAGAAACTGATCAGTGTCACCTCTGGATGCTACATGCCGCCATTGCAATGGCAAAGGTAAGCTTTACCTATGGTTTCTAAGACATTTTAAGTCACACTTCTGACTAATTAAAATTAATGAGAGAATTGGTTTAAGTATATTCATTTTGTTCATTTCTAGTAGTACCCTAAGCTCTTTAAGCACGTCGTTTGAGCCAAGCACAAAACGCTGTCGTTTTGTTCATTGAACTCCAGTTAATCTCAGCCATTCGATTAAACATGATCCGATGGGTCAAACATTCAGGTCAACGATATAAAAGGGGCTGTTAGTCTTGGTCAGTGGGCGTTTTAGTCTTCTGTTTTCTCTCTGTAAAGGCACGAAAATAGCCTGGGTCAACATGATTAATTTTTTTTTTTTTTCATTGTTTCTCTTTTGTTTCTTTGAGTGTTCTTCTTTATTGATTTAATTATTTTTCAGAGGGACTAGAGTACCGCTTCCTTTCAGAATATGAAGATCAAGGACTTGCTACAATTAACTGCTTCTTCGCCTCATTTGATTCTTTGAAAGTTTGTAAGGTAATCGAAAGGAATTTGTGGAATAACTCAAACTCTTGATATTTTGTAACTTTTTATACATAATATCACAGATACTGAAGTTTCTTTTATACATAATATAAAGTCACAAAGTTGCAATGTCTATCTAGTTATTGACATCTGTGTTAGTTTGGGGCATGCTGTCGGCAATTTAAGGGGCATGCTGTCGGCAATTTTGGAGGGTTTTGGTGCATGAGTTTAGAGAATATATTGCAATTGAATATCTTGCTGATCTACATCTTAATCTACATCACTTAGACAAACAGAAGTATGCCATCTTTCCTTGAAAATAAATCATGTTATATGTGACTTTCTTTATGCAGGTTCTGTGTAGCAGAAGTTCTCTGTCTGATACTCCCATATACTTGGGATTGTTACTGGAACCTTAAGCCAGAAAATGTTCTTGTAAGGAAGATGGACATATAATGCTCTTGACTTTGGTCTTTCCCTTCGTTGTGCTGTCAGCCTAACAGTAGTGAAGTCGTCAACACTCAGGTCTGAAACCCTGAAAAGAATCCGGTTTATTGCATTCGACATGCCTGCATCAAGCCCTATGTATCCAACCGTCATGTATTGTCCCTACAACTTGTTTTCCTCGATCCTTTTGAAAATCCAAGAAAGTTCAGAAACCAAAGATGAAACCGGGAAACAAGTTACCCCACTGCCAGAACTTATCGCTGAGCCAACCAACGCTCCAGTCGTTTGTGGAACTCACGAGTACCTGGCGCCTGAAACTATCGAAGGTGAAGGGCATGGAAACGCTGTTGATTGGTGGAGTTTTGGGATCTTCTGTATGAGCTATTATTGGTAAAACTCCCTTAAGGGCTCCGAAAACACGGGCTACCCTGTTAATAGCCAAATCATTCTGTTTCACAGCTATAATTTTTGTTGTCTCTAACTTTCAATTAATCACAAATTTGGTAAACATTTTCATTTCTAAGCTGGCTGAAACGCTAGAAGTTGAGCAGATATCAATGTTTTACTTGAAAAATTCAATGGTTTGTGTTGGTGGACAGGTAGCTTTTCTTCTAATAAATCATAGAATACGATGGATGTGGAAGCATGATGCACATGGTTTGCGCAACAAAGTCTCTGCTTGAAGAATGAATTTTTGGTGTAAGTTACAGAGTTCTCAGTAAGAAAAGTATCAGAACTATTTCCCTTGTAGTTGATAGTTTAGTTGGTTCAAGAAACCAACTGTTTTTATGACTTGAAATTTTCTTGTGAAGGTTTCTGCTATTCCTTTGTTAATTTTCCAGAGGTGCTGGTGTTCAAGTTGCAAATTCGGGGTTATGCGCGACATCACACAGTTAGAGAGTCGCAGCCTTCTATTAGAAACGGCCCTCAAAACCGGTTATGCCACCCAGTTTTCGCTCATGAGCAACCCGCCCATCATTCTCAGAGTTACTGACTAGGCTCGGCAACCACAAGCCTTTACCTACATTCGTGCAGTTTCACATCGGACATGCACTCCGTCCCTGACCTAGACTAAACACCACAGGGCGCAACCCGACCGCGCAATGAAAACGCCACGCAGAGTCTGTCACCGCACCCACCCGATGCCGAAGCACAGTATGACCCATTCACACCCTCTCACAAAACTTCGCCCATCAACCACCCACACCGTTGCCCGCTCAAAGCTGAAGAAGTGGGAGAAGAAGTTGAAGTTTATTGATGCTCTGCTCATGGATGCCGAGGAGAAGCAACTGACGGACAGGGCTGTGAAAATGTGGCTGGACGAGCTCCAGGACTTGGCTTATGATGTGGAGGACATTCTGGATGAGTTTGCAACTGAAGCTTTAAGGCGAAAGGTGATGTCTGAACACCATGCTAGCAGTAGCAAGGAAAGTAGCTTTATCTCAGCTTGTTTCACTGGTCAGACTCCAAGTGCTGTGAAGTTCACTTTCAACATGAGGTCCAAGATAGGTGTTATTACTAGCAGATTGGAAGAACTCTGCAGACAAAGAACTGAGCTTGGATTGGAAAAGATTTCGGGGGGGACATCAACTACTGCATGGAATAGACCATCCAGTACATCTGTGCAAATCGAGCCTGCTATTTTTGGGAGGGAGGAAGACAAAGCCAAGATACTACAAATGGTGTTAAGTGGGGAACCAAGTGAAGCCAACTTTTGCGTTACACCGATTGTTGGTATGGGGGGAATTGGTAAAACAACACTTGCTCGAGAGGTCTACAATGATGACAAGGTTATCGAAGTTTTCAATCCAAGAGCATGGACGTGTGTCTCGGATGATTTTGATGTTCTGCGTATCTCTAAGGCAATTCTTGAGTCAATCACTTCATCATCTTGTAGTCTACAGAACTTAAATGAAGTGCAGGTTCAGTTGAAAAACAAAGTAGCCGGAAAAAAATTCTTCCTTGTATTAGATGATGTTTGGAGCAGAGATTATGGCTTGTGGGAAACTCTTAAGTCTCCCTTCATGGCTGGGGCACCAGGAAGTAGGATAATTGTGACGACACGCAGTGTCCATGTAGCTTTAACCATGGGACAAAGTGAATATTTTGAGTTGAAACTTCTTTCAAACGATGATTGTTGGGGCATATTCGAGAAGCATGTATCTGGGTGCAGAGTTGTTTCACGCCAGAATTTGAATTCAATTCGTGATAAAGTTGTTGAGAAGTGCAGAGAGTTACCATTAGCAGCCAGAACTCTTGGGGGTCTTTTACGATCTAAGCAAAGATATGATGAGTGGGANGGCTAAATCAGATGGTATCACAATCATCGTCCAAAATTTTCTTCATTATTTGTTTATAAGAAATTTTTTCTTAAATAAATATATAATTAGTGATGTAATTAATATTTAATAATTGATAAAGACTATTCCAAGTGCTTTATTTAAGTCAACATTAGTGTTGTTTTATTTGTAGCCATAGAAATATATTCCTCTTTATAATATTCTCAATCGGAAAAATAATATCTTTTAATAAAATAAAAAAGTAAACGCACTGACATGAAAGTGCTCTATGTGAATGTGACCACCCATAACTTGACCCACCTAAATCCTATGGGCACATAAATGCATTAATCAGACAACATCAATGTTGCTAACATAAATATTAAAAAACTCAAAAATTATTAAAATAATTAAAATTTTAAAACAATAAGATATCGTGTATTATTTATTATTTCAATATATTCACACACATACTAATGATGTTTTATTTATTATATATAAACTATAAATATATTATTGAAAATCAAATCGTGATATTATCAATAAACTCTTCGTATACTCACTATTTTAAAAAAAAAAAAAAATTATCTTTATTTTAACATTTTGATGTATCAAAAGTTGTATTTTTGTTATTTTTTGTTTACTTGTTATGTGTCAAAATTAAGACAACTCTTTTAGAAAATATTAACACTTTGAAATTGTAAAGAAGGAAGTGGATGGATATAGGTGATACGATCGGATGTAGAATGGTGGTGAATCGATCCACCAATCAACTTGAGACGTGAACAGATATAAATTGTGATGGGTAAAAAGTATCAAGAATCTCTTTGATGTAGACATATAATAATTGTGGAATATCTTTAAAATTAATGGAAACTTTTTAGTTTTTGCATCACATGATCTAATAATTCAGAAATGGAGTTATTGCACAAAAAAAAAAAAAAAAAAAAGTGTGGACCGCTAGGAAGAAAAAGACAAGACATCAAAAAAGCTTTTAGCTCTCTTCATTTGATTTGAGGTTGAATTATTGCAATGGTGGAGCCAAGACTTTAAAACCAAAGTTGCAGACAGCTGGACTCTCCGCTTTATGAGTACACTGTCCATCTTTCATAATGAACACTTGACTCTTGGATATCCATTTTCCTTTCATTTTCGGAGTCTCTTTCTTCTTCTTCTTCTCTATATCTATTCTCCTAATTTCTTATCACAAATTCACCTTATACTGTTAAGACAACTCGAACACCAATTTCCATCTCTATCTTCATTTGTTAACTCTCCCTTATACTATTATCCATTCTTCCAAATCAGTTTGGCAACAGTGAAGTGCTTGCTTGCAGAATCAACAGTTAAGAAATTCAGAAGACCGTCATATCACAAATTTCAGGTAAGGAAAAACAACCTTCATATCACTACCACTTTTCAATTGCAGAAATAAGACTACTTTTTTTATTCTCTGTAAAGTAGCTTCAGAATTAATTATCATGCTTAAGCGCTCTTAATTAATAATCATGCTTAAACTGTTCAAGAATCCATAGCTGAAAACCAGTTTCTCTTACTTTCACTCTCACTCTTCTGTTTGTGTCATCCATAATCCATCCTTTTGATTTAATTCCTTTCTTTCTAACAGAAAAAACCAATCACCACAACTGGGTTCAAAGGTTCAAATGCACTGTCCGAAAAAGTTCGATTTATGTTATTACTACAAGGAAATTAGTAACTAATTATCATCCTTCTCTTTCTTGACTGTTTCTCTTCATCTCATTAACATCCTTCTCTGTATGAAAATTTTAATTAATTTTTATCATTTCTCTTCCTACGTAGTCAAAACCATGCCAGTGGGAGAAGTCTTTCTTGGCGCTTTTCTTGAGGTGCTGTTCGACAGACTAGCGCCGCGTAAGCTGTCGCTTCTTCCATGTGAAAATTGGATACGTTCAGAGTTAAAGCAGTGGAAGAGAAAGTTTTTAATGATCCAGGCAGTGCTCAACGATGCCGAGGAGAAGCAACTGACGAACGAGGCTGTGAAAGTGTGGTTGGAAGATCTCCAAGACTTGGCTTATGATGTGGACGACATCCTGGATGAGTATGCCACTCAGGTTCTAGAGCGTGAATTGATGAAAGAACAATCGACAAACAGAATTGTTGATTATTTCTCTTCTTGGACTCCAAGTGCTCTGATTTCCCAGGCTGATATGAAGTCCAAGATAGAAGAGATAACTTGCCGTTTAGAAGATCTCTGTGAAGATAAGAATTATCTTGGTCTGAAAGAGATTGCTGGAGGCTCATCTACTGTTGCATGGCAAAGACCACCTAGTACATGTGTGCCAACTGAACCAGCAGTTATCGGAAGAGATGCTGATAAAGCCAAGATACTTGAAATGGTGTTAAGCAATAAACAGAGTGGTGGCAGCTTTCATGTAATACCCATTGTTGGCCTAGGAGGAGTTGGCAAAACAACACTTGCTCGGGAAGTGTACAACGACAAGGCAGTGGCGGATTTCGATCCAAGAACATGGGTCTGTATTTCGGATGATTTTGATGTTATGCGAATTTCCAAGGCAATTCTTGAGTCAATCACTTCATCATCTTGTAGTCTACAGAACTTAAATGAAGTCCAGGTTCAGTTGAAAAACAAAGTAACTGGAAAAAAATTCCTCCTTGTATTAGATGATGTTTGGAGCAGAGATTATGGCTTGTGGGAAACTCTTAAGGCTCCCTTCATGGCTGGGGCACCAGGAAGTAGGATAATTGTGACCACACGCAACGTCGATGTAGCTTTAACAATGGGACAAAGTGAATATTTTAAGTTGGAACTTCTTTCAAATGATGATTGTTGGGGCATATTCGAGAAGCATGTATCTGGGAGCACAGTTGCTGTTTCAGGCCAGAATTTGAATTCAATTCGTGATAAAGTTGTTGAGAAGTGCAGAGGGTTGCCATTAGCAGCCAGGACTCTTGGAGGTCTTTTACGATCTAAGCAAAGATATGATGAATGGGAAGACATATTGAACAGTAAATTATGGGATTTACCTGAAGAAAATGGCATTCTATCTGTTTTGAGACTAATGTCACGCACTTAACTTCTTTGCTAAGTTCGTGCGGCCTTAACTCGTCGGAAATGAGCTAAGCAGCCTAACGCTCACAGGCTAACAGTATATGAACAAGAGAGAAGTATAGAGAAAATGTAAACTCTGTGTATTGCTGGAATTCAAGTTATATGATTTACATGGTGGAGTTGCCTATTTATAGGCTCAAGCACCTCAAATTAACTATGACTAAGCTACATGCTTCAGCATTAAGAAAACCCTGGGTGTCGGACATTGGTGCAGCCTTGGAAACGAAGCTCGTGGGTGTCGAGCATATGTGCAACCTTGGAAACGAAGGTGCTTAGTCGCCGAACCTAGCTGCTGAGTCGTTAACTTAGTTCCTAAGTTAACTTAGCTCTTAAGTCTGCTTCACCCTGAAGTATACTTAATCGGTAAGTAACGAGCAGCATGCTTGGGCAAGCAGGCTGGTCGTGACACTAAGCTATCATCATCTTCCTTTGCATTTAAAAAGATGTTTTGTTTATTGTGCTATTTTTCGCAAGGATTATGAATTTATGGATGAGGAACTTATTCTATTATGGATGGCAGAAGGTATTATTCAACAGTCTGAAAACAAGCATCTGGAAGACTTAGGTCGTGAGTATTTTCGTGATTTACTTTCGAGGTCAATATTTCAACGGTCAAGTATCAATATTTCAAAATATATAATGCATGGCCTTGTCAATGATTTGGCTCAATGGATATCTGGAGAAACAAGTTTTAGATTGGAGGATGAATGCAGTCTCATGTCAATAAAAAGATTTGATAGAATTCGACACTCTTCTTACACATTTAGACGTTATGAAGTAAAAAAGAATTTTGAAGTTTTCCATAAAGTTGAGTCCCTGAGGATGTTACTGAGAATAGTCTTGCCACTGGGGTACGGAGAAATGACTTACGTTACTATGACAGTTTTTTTGGATTTATTGCCAAAGCTCAAAAAATTGAGAGCACTGTCTTTAACATACTACCATGTGATGAAACTACCCAACTCAATTGGAGATCTAAGACATCTAAGGTATATTAACCTTTCTGAAACTCAGAAACTACAAGCCCTACCTAGCCGCATGCATACCCTCAAATCTCTTCAAAAGCTATCCTTATTGCAATGTCCTAATATCGAATCCATTACAGCAGAAGATTTCCCCTCCAACCTAAAATCACTTACACTTCCTCTCAGTATCTACAAGCCACTGACTGAGTGTGGTTGGCACAAACTTACCTCTCTTAGAAGACTCTCAATTTCGGGATTATCTTTTCCAGAGGAGGAGATCATAGAAATAAAGTTTCCCATCTCTCTAATACATCTGAGCATCGTTAGCTTCCCGAAATTGAAATAACTATCTTCCAAAACTTTCGAATTTCTTACATCTCTTGAATCTTTGACTTTCAGTGGTTGCCCAAATCTCATATCCTTGCCAGACCTTCCATCCTCACTTTTGTCACTATATATTTACAATTGTCCTTTAATAGAAAAACAGTGCAAAAGGAATGAAGGACAAGTACGGTCCAAGATAGTTCAGATCCCTCGCGTTGAGGTAAATAATAAACTCATCTACACCCTTGTCACTATAGACCGTTGGGAGTCTCTGAACCACATGGACTACAAGTTAGCTTCACTCAGACTGGTTCACGGGAACCACATGGTTTGAGATTTCTAAAGCTTCTGGTTTGGAACTCAATCACTTGACCCACTTACTTTGTTTAACAGCTGATCATGTTCTTGTTAATGCTAGAATGTATGATGATGCCCAGGTGATATTTAGGCAGTTATCTTAAAATTTCTTTACTAAATATTTTTCTGTTAAAACAGAGCACCAGAAAACTTGTGGCACACAATGTGCCAAATAAAGACATTTATTACAATCTTGCTCAACCATTAAGAACAAAAATTTCAATATATTGCAAGTGATTCATTTCACATTCCTTAACAAAGTTGTTGAC